GATTATCCACGCAATCCCCGGATATGACTCGCTGGCCAACTTCTGCTGCCTCACAGAGTGGGAGAAAGATCAGGTATTCTCTCAGTATCGAAGAAAGCACAACATCACAGGGGATGACGCCAGCATGGGCGCTGATGCCGATGCCAAGCAAGGTGACGAGTCGTCGGCTCACCCTGGGGAGGAGGAAGCTGATGAGCCAGCAAATGATCCCACTGATGTAGTCAGGGACTCAGAGATTTCCGGAAAACAACAACTCTTGGATGCGTTGGGAAAACTCTTCACTGTCTCTGAGGATGTCAATGTGTGTTTGTACTGTGGTAGCACCAAACATGGTCACCTTGAATGTGAACATGAGAAGAAGGATGAAGTCAGAAAGGTGCTAAAGGCCGTCCGAGCGTCGCTCGAGGCTGATAGTCCCACGTCTGATGACGTCGATATGGAACCTCCTGAGCACAAAAAGGACGGATCAGGTGCTACTGAAGGGTCGGGGCAAACGGACGAACCTACAAAACCGAGGTTTAGTGAACACCAGTGGTACGACAGCATCAGGACTATGTCCGAAGTCGGGGACCTCGATGAGTATGGTAGGTTCTGCATTGAAGGACGTGATGTTACAAAGCTGGGACCACAGAATATCGTTGATCTCAACGAAGTGATCCGGGATGCTATTGTCAGAGGAGGAGGTGACACTTGGTCAGTGCCAGAATTCCTTGCAAGCTACTCTGACAACAACATCAGAAAACCCTTCTACAAACGAATCGAGGCGCCGCAAGATGGTTTCTTGAAAATCATCCCTACAACTGGAGCCCATTTCTTCAACTGCTTTTACTTTGGCGGTGTGGAGTATGCGGCCAACTATCGCTTCGAAACTGGCAACCGACTCGACAGCTATGAGGACAAGGTGAGTACCTCACTGAACAGGATCCTACGTCACAATGTGGGGAAGGTATCAGAATCACAGAGTCTGTTCTGTGATGACGCCGGCTGGGTGCCCATCGAGGAAGTGCTCAAATGTGAATCCATCTGGAGACATGAGCACGCACGCTGGCCACACGTCTTCCTCGCCCCCAAAGGAAGAGCAAATGATCAAAGTGCATGGAATGTCAATGAGGCGAATTATCGCATGACATTGCTGTTCAAGATCATGTTCCACTGTGCTCGATATGGACGTCGTGTGCGTGAACAAGTCTTGGCGTTTGGGATCAACAAGGACATTGATCGCAGCAGCCTGACGTGCATTGACAACAAAGTCGATGCGGACACGCACATCCCTGACGAAGGGCTACTGCTCTACCCAGTGGCAGTCCGCGCACCAACGGGGCACAAGGAAGGATCTTCCAGAGATGACGTCTCATTGCTGTCATCGTTGCTTTCGCATCCAATCGCACCCAACACCATCATGTCATTACCGGTCTGCTTCCACATCACAAAGAAGACCAACCTCCGAAGCATTTGGAGGCAAGGGTTAATCCCAGGAGGTCTTGGAGAAGGTCATCGGATGTTCACGTTCTTCAACCCGTATGTGCCATGGGATCATAGATCATGGACCATCACGAAGAGCGTTGATACGCGAAAGGGGGACTATATCTGCCTATTCATCCCGACCGAGACCTTGATGGTGGAGTATGGCGGTCGACTGACTGACTCGGGACAGATCGTTTCACCAAAGATCATCCCGTTCTCAGCGATCAAAGGAGGATGGATTCAGGATCCCAAGGATCAATACAACAAGACATGGCTCCGGTTGTTCGTTCCGTCGGGCGACGACCAGGTAGTCCGGTCTGGCACTATTAAATCAAGAACTGTAGCCACCAAGGAGTCCATCCTGAGGGTCGCAAGTCAATGCATCGACGCCGAAGACCAACCGTATGACGAGATCGCCATGGATGCCATGAACGTCGTCAACCAATTCAGGAACAACCTCATTGAGCCTGGCGGACAAGAGCAATACCTGGCCCGCATCAAGCTGATTGACTACATAGTCGAACGCAAAAGGGTGCAAACTTCAGGTTGCCGTCATGGTCCTCATTGCCTCAATGAAACGCCGACGAAATTAGCAGTGTGTCTAGTTTGCTGGACAGAACTTGAAAGCTGCGGAATTCGACCATATCGGCTACAAGCTCCTGAAGACGACGAAGATGAGGCCACAAAGAAAGAGCTCGATGAAGAAGTTCGTCGACAAGAAGAATCGTTGTTCAAGGATACGGTCCATCAAGCACAAGAAAACGTATCCGAATCCAACGACTATGGCTTCAACCCTGATGAGGTCGACTACAACGAAGGTGATGATGAAGAAATGGATCAGGAGGAGGAAACTCAACAGGAAGACGACGAAATCGTTGAAGAAGAAGACGACGATGAGATGGACGTCGAACCTGAAAATGAACCTTCATCCAAACTACCAGCATGGACCAAGAATCTTGAGAGCGGAAGCAAGGGTATGCCAGGAGACGGACTTGTCAACAATGATGTCTCCGAGGCCGCGGCTCACTTGTACGACAATGCCGTGATGTCAAAGATCATCGCAATGTTCAGACTCTACTACAAACAGAGAGTCACTCTGACCCCAGAGGAATACTATGCGATGATGACGGAAACCAAGCGAGTCCGGCTGGACCTGGACGACTTCTGCCCTTACACAGGCGAAGACCAGGATGGCAACCTCAAGCGACCAACGGAGCTGGAATTGGACGAACTCTTTCAGGAGAAAGGGAAGAAGAACTCGTGGTCAGAGGGAGAGAAGATGTACTCTGGACGACCAAGAAACATGATGATGCCTGTCATCAAAACTCTGGAGGTTTACGAAAAGATGATGGAGTTTCTGGTATGTGCCGGGTACACTCCCGAGTCCTTGGGTTTCCTCATGCCAATGAATAGGATGCAGGCTGATGCACAGGGAAAACAGGAGATGAGAGTGACCATCAGCAACTTTCTCCGACGACTGCTGAAAGGAACCTTTCCAGAACATGAATCATATACCTTCTTTCGTTCCGGGAGCCACGGCTTCCCCAACTGCATTGAACTCCCAGCTTTCTCGGTATATCTGAGTCTGAGAGAAAAGGAACAAAGGGTGGAACTACTCTTTGCCGCCCAACAATGCGGAATTCCATTACCTCAAAACTTTGTCAGCAAGATGGCTTATGCCATTCAACTGGCTGAGGCCGAGGCGCAGAGGGGAAAGTCCGAGATGAAGATGAAGATGGCTCCAAACCTTGGGGACGAAGTGGTAAGTGAGGTATTCAAAGCAGTTGGGGATAGTGCCGGTGCCAGGCGTGCCACGGCAGACGCAAAAGCCAAATCATCAGCACAGCCTTCACAGAAACCTGAAGGCACTGGTTCAGCGTCATCCTCATCGGCCAGTGCACCAAAGGCCAAGGCTATGCCGAGGTCCTATGAACCATCTAAAGCACCACTTGCAAAGCCTTCATCGCCGAAAGCTGCTCCGAAACGTGCGGCAGGATGGGAGAAATCCCCAACAACACCTCAATGGAAGAAAGTCCACCGTGAGCAGTAAACCAACTACCTCTGTCCGTATGAATGATCACTGAACTATAAGATGTGTATCGTCTTTGTGAACAGATGATCAGGAAAAGACCAACTGAGTGGACTCTGAGCGAGGCAGTAGACTAATTCGCTTAGGTCCGAGATTTTCAATATTCCCAATCTGCACGAAGTTCTGCACAGTGCACGTGAATTCGTTAGTTAGCGTTGTAAAGCTTTGGTAGCGAAGCGGTCCACTTCTCCCGTCGGGTGAGTGGCCTGCCTAGCCAACATAGAAAAGTAGATGTTAGCTAGCAACAATTCGCGATGTACAGCTTGAAGAGACGCCGTTGCATCGACAGCCATAGAGTAGGCGAACCCGGAACCATTATTCCCGTCGGGTATATGGGAAAGGGGGAGCCGAATGGCAAGTTTTATGTACATAGGCGTAATTCAAGTAGCAGAAACAATCTAATTCAAAGTTCCCTCTCTCGTGTCCGTGGTTCGAAGAATACCACGGGCATGGGGGGTGTCAAAGGGAACTAGGCGCTAGATCATGTGTCACATGCATGTATCAGTGTATCTCAAACGCCCTTTGTGGCTCAAGCGCCCCTTGAAGGAAAAGAATCGTGCCGTCGCTGCTGCGCCATAACGGGACTCGGTTGACCAGCGAAGCAGGTATTGGAACTACAATTGGTAACACCTAGAACAAGGGTAAAATTGTTCACATACACTATATATATACAATATATATATACAATATATATATACACACTATATATATACTATATATATACACTATATATATATATACAATATATATATATACAATATATATATATATACAATATATATATATATATACAATATATATATATACACAATATATATATATACAATATATATATATATATACAATATATATATATACAATATATATATATACAATATATATATATATACAATATATATATATATATACAATATATATATATATATATACAATATATATATATACAATATATATATATACAATATATATATATATATCGGGAATATATTAGAATATCATTGAAGATATGTGCATTATGTCATATTCAATGATGTATATGGAATTGGAATATATATATATAGAATATTGTTATATGGAATATATGGTACCCAAAAATTTATTTTGGCGGTTGAAGTTTGAACAAAAATGGCGACTCTGAATTCATTACGTCATGCCGAACCAACCTGGGATGGGTATAGTTTAATCCTTTAGGTTTTTGCAATGGAAAATAACCACTACAGGATGGGGCCCCCAAGATAGCGTTCAGTTGGATTATAAGTGGCTGAATTCAATGGTTTATGGTAGATATAAGTATAGTTAATGGGGATTATAATGGTTTATAAACCAACTTATAACTGGGGGGCCCCATCCTGTACCAACAAATGATTAATCTTTTGTTGACTACCAAGGATTAACCATGACTTGTTGGTATCACACATCCCAATAAAAAGCGATCTTCGCAGCTCAGGTTCGATTGGATGACGTGGTGTCAAGTAACGCATGGCTGCGAAACCATAGCCGAATTGTGAGAAGAGTGAATGCCCAGAATCTTTGGCAAGTGGATCCCGATTTTCCCCAGAAACTTGGCAGGCACAAGGTGAGGGCCCCTGCCCTAGTGGGTTTTAGTGGCAATTATTATAAATCGTAAACCTTGGAGTCATAAAATATTATTACACTAAATATTATATGATTAATAAACCTTGGTTTTATTAAAATCACTAAATCAATGATGGTAACTATTGACTACGAGTCATAAACCAACTGAACGCTATCGTTTCGGGACCTCGCCGGCCTTGGGGGGCCTGCTCAGGAATCCATCAGCTTTTCACAAGTATCACTACGATTTACGCGCCATGGTGGTTTCAGATTTGTTTTGCATTTTTGACCCCACTGGTCTATACATATACAGTATGTATTTATGACTATATATATATACATACACTACATACACATACACATACATTGTATATAATGTATGTACATATACGGATGTGTATACTTTGTAGCTTTTATTGTTTCTATATTTTTTGTTGGTAAAGTCCTTTTTGCCTCATCCTCCTATTTTTTTTGCTTTGGGTAGTTCTGTAAATTGGATATATTGAGTGGGTTTTAGGGTGGTTCTTAACTTATCGTAGGTAATGCATTTTTGTTTGACATCATCGGACGTCATTAACTTATAAGTATTGTCCTCACTGGGACTTTTAAGTGATAACCCAAATCCTTCCAAACCATTAGCCGTGTTTGTCCAAGAATAAGATACCCTACGCCTACTATAGTTCATCATCATCGATCGTCATTCACATTTCAAAATCACCATTTCGATCCATTTCGGGCTCCATTTCAAAGCCCACAATGTGAGGCCCCCAAGATATCTAAGTTGGTTTATAACTCCAATAACTATGGTTTATGGTAGTTATAAAACTATAGTGGGGCGAATCTAAACCAACGTTCACATCACTGGGGGGCTCCATTTCGCCCAGGTGATGCCTATTGGCCGGACACCATTGGTTTGATGTTCCATCCCCAACTCCCTGCCATCTATGAGCAGATTTACGGCCACGCCATGCGACCGCGTTTGCGGCCGCCGCAGCATCCGCGCTTTCGCTTCGCCAACGCTGTCTGCGTGGTGACCAACGTCCCGGAACTGTTGGCGTAAAAAGGGGGCGTGGGAACGGGCCACAAACTGCTGGGCCGGAAGGACAACTTAGAAAAAGCTAAGTGAGTTGGCGGGAAGCAAACACGTGTCGGATACGACATACCCAGTTCAAAAAATTGGAGGACCAATTATATTGAGTCAAAAAACAGTTTAAAATGGCCACAAGAATTGCCAGACGGTATTCCTCAATTACAGAACATTCACAATTGGTCAGCTGCAGTTGTCACATGTTGTCACTCATTTTAGCACACCATTTCCACACCACACCGTCATCTACACGTCATTTCCACTGCTCAGCAGGCTGCTTCGATACCCTTGCTGAAATCCTGTTGGTAGGTTCAGTCCCAAATTGGCAATGCTGTGGTTTCTTGAGATCTACTTACCATTTTGGTCAACTTGAAATTCTGATTAAAACTTTGTGGTGGTATTAATTCATCATCCCATATGCTCCATGTATGGCATATTCCGAATATTTACCAACATTTGCCCTAAAAATCACCCAACATTTGTTTAATATTTTGTATACACATGATACACAAATAATACAATTAGTTGTGATTAATTAACAGAAATTACTTAATGATCTGGTTGGTGATTTGGAACATTTTTTATTTTCCATATATTGAGAATAGTAACCCCAACTGACTTTGATATTGTTCAGAGGGGTAGGTATACCACCAACCAGTGATGTATTGTGATCTGTTGGTATTAATTCACCATGCCAAAAATCCAGCGGATCGAGTTACGAAATCAGATATCTCTCCGTTGATTTTGTTTTATTCTTGGGTGATCAAACAAAAGCTAGTGATAAACCCCTCAAAAATATCTATAAACTTAGAGATATCCTACACATGTTGCACTTATGTAGTGTTTTTTTGTTGGTATGAAACAGTATGCTGACAGCAATCATATGACATTAACAATCATTATACCCTCTGGTAATTTAACATAGCTATTGAACATAGTGCATTTATAGTTGATTTACTTACTAAAAGTGGTGATTTTCAACAGCTATGTTAGTTTACCAGAGGGTAATTATATATATATATATATATTAATATATATATATATATATGTACACTATACTGAGGTACCTTAATCACTATGGGTACCTTAATCCCATATTAAGGTACTTAATGATTAATAATTACCATCCCATTAAACCACCATAAAATCCCGTGAAACCACCATAAAATCCCATGAAACCACCATAAAATCCCATGACACCACCATTAGATCCCATTCAACCACCATAAAATCCCATGACACCACCATAAAATCCCATGACACCACCATAAAATCCCATGACACCACCATAAAATCCCATTAAACCACCATAAAATCCCATGACACCACCATAAATCCCATTAAACCACCATAAAATCCCATGACACCACCATAAAATCCCATGACACCACCATCAAATCCCATGACACCACCATAAAATCCCATTAAACCACCATAAAATCCCATGAAACCACCATAAAATCCCATTAAACCACCATCAAATCCCATGACACCACCATAAAACCTCATTAAACCACCATAAAATCCCATTAAACCACCATAAAATCCCATTAAACCACCATTAGATCCGATTAAACCACCATAAAATCCCATGACACCACCATTAGATCCGATTAAACCACCATAAAATCCCATGACACCACCATAAAATCCCATTAAACCACCATAAAATCCCATGACACCACCATAAAATCCCATTAAACCACCATAAAATCCCATGACACCACCATAAAATCCCATTAAACCACCATAAAATCCCATTAAACCATCATTAGATCCCATTAAACCACCATTAGATCCCATTAAACCACCATAAAATCCCATGACACCACCATAAAATCCCATGACACCACCATAAAATCCCATGACACCACCATAAAATCCCATTAAACCATCATAAAATCCCATTAAACCACCATAAAATCCCATGAAACCACCATTAGATCCCATTAAACCACCATAAAATCCCAGAAACTTATGTTTTCCTCCAAAAAACATGATGTTTCCTATGGGTTGCTCCCCCTAAAAATGAAACACCAGGCCATCCTCCAGTGGAGCGATGGTGGCGACGCCGCTTCCATGTCTCGGGCCCTGGAGACCTTGGAGCGTCACTTCCGAGAGGCCCTTGGGGCAAGGCGTTGGGTGCGGTAAGTGGGCCATGATCCACTGATAATTAACCATTAATAATTGGTTATCATTATTGGATATCATTGGTGGTTAATAATCATGGATATCCCTATTATTATTATGGTTATATACCCAATTATTTATATGCTGTTACCCTATTATTAACCATGATTAACCAGATAAGTTAGTTTATAATCCATATATAATATCCGATTCTATCCCATTCATGTATATATATATATATAATATCCCATGATTAACCATGATTAAGCATTATTAACCATTATTAATCATCAGTAACCACTATTAACCATTTTTAACCATATATATATATATAACTTATCAATAACTATTACACATGGTGTGTGGTTATACCCATAAGATTAATGTGTAAAAAAACTATAGATTGGAATATATAATCCCAATAATTTTGTTATAGTATAATCCCAATCATAATTATATAGCCAATAATAGCCTATAGTATCCTATAGTTAGTTAATGGTATTTAATGGGAAAAAACATGGGAATATCATGGGATTTACCCTTTGGTAAATTAACATGACGACCCTGGCAGTCATCGGGTTTGGAAGACTTAGTGAAACCACTATGAATTGGTCATTTTCAGGGTCAACAAGTTAATTTACCAGAGGGTATATGCATTATATACCTATAGTTAGTTAGTTAGTTAGTGATAACTGTAGTTATATCTATATCTATATCTAACTATAGATATGTTTTACCAACTAACTATCTATTGTTAGTGGGTTGTGATTTTGACAACATTTACTGGGCCATGATCTGGTTGGTGGTTTGGAACATGGCTTTTATTTTCCCCAATAGTTGGGATGATGATCTAATCTGACGAACTCCATCATTTTTCAGGGGGGTAGGCTCAACTTTTTTGCCTACCCATATGCGAACCATGGTGCTGGTATATTTACCTACAGAACTGGGTGATTTTTGGGGCAAATGTTGGTAAATATTCCATACATGGAGCATATGGGCTATAGTTAGTGGGTTGGTTAGATATAGATGATAGACCTATAGTCAGAGTTAGTTAGTAGTTAGTTGGTTGGTTAGCTTCGTGAGTCTGAGTCTGAGTTAGTTTGCTGTGCCATGGACCATCATTTGTTTTTCGGGTAAGAACAAGTGGTTCTGCAGAACTTGCTTTCGGGAGAGCAGTGACATCTATAATCAACTCAAAACTGGTTGGTGGTTTAAATCATTTGGATTATTTTCCATAATATATGGGATAATCCTTCCCATTGACGAACTCCATCATGTTTCAAGATGGGCACATTGCACCACCAACCAGAATATTAATATCCCAGTTATGGAGTAGTATATACCATTATATACCCTATGTTATATCCCATAACCTATAGTTTATACTATGTTATATCCCATTAATTATACCATGATAATAATGGGGCCGGATTTCACTCAAAACTCCACCATTCGAAGAACTCCACCAGAGCTTCACCAGAGCTGATTGGTATCGCCGGCCATCGAGATGTGGCTGGTTTAGATGTGTGTTATAGGCAACGCAAATATGGCGTTTGGTGCTGAACCAAGTGCATATCAGTCAAAATCACAATCTTTGTTTGGGTGGTAATTCTTAGTTTGGCAGGTGCATGGTTCAATTAGCATCGATATCT